ACATCAAATAGTATTAAACATTTTTTTTTTTGGATTTAGTTTTTAGTAAAGATAGATGGAGATCATTGATAATTATAAAACAGTTTTGTTGCACTCCTGACTGCAGTAAAATGAAAACTTAAAACCATAGAACACAAAAATTCATAAATTAAAGTGTTGGCAACATCAAGTGGTAACGAAATTGTGCAATATTATAGTCCAATACTTCGTAATTAAAACACATAAAAGTAATTAAACTTGGCTTTATATCTTGAATTATCCCCTATTCATGTCAAAAACTAGCTAAAATGTATATTTAGAAGATAAAATATATTTTATAGTATACATGTATTTTCCTTCAAAGGACAAACACTCTAAGCAACTGAGGTCAACCAGAAACATTTTTTCCCTTTATAATAATTCATATTTGATCAGTAATAATTCTAACATATTTGTTGCACTCCTGACCAAGAGCATGGGAGTCTATAAAGTACAATTGTGAAGCAAAAATTACACCAGAACTTGTTCTGTTGTTTCAGTGAAGCTGAGGTGGAATTACTTGAACTATATAACAATTTTTCAGAGTGTTTATTTTTTTTTCACATTCATAAAAAAATCTAAGAAAAGATAAAAATACATCTGAATTGATAAAATTAAAAAAGGGAATGATTTTAATAATAAAACTGTCAATAATTTAGTACTAAATTATTTAAATAGATCATTATTAATTAAAGAATATCTGTTAGCATGAAAAGAAGTCAGTTCATCATATAACTTGAATCTTTAAAAAAAAAATGTGTTGCACTCCTGACTATAGAAATATAGATCAGATCTGAAACACTGACAGACTCTGTAATTAATAAATCTATTTGGTAAAAATGTTCTTTGAATCTTTATTTTCCAAAATAAAAACCAGAGAATCATGTACTGATAAAAGTTTTTTCATGCTGGGGAGCAAAACATCAAATGATGCACTCCTAACATTATATTGCAACATACCTGTTTCACAAATTTCTCATATCTTATGAAAATCTAAGATCTATCTTAATCTTAAGACAACTAAATGCCTGACTTAAGTATAAAGTGAACATGGCTACAGCAAAGCTTTTGGCTCAAAACCGAAGGATTTTAAAAAAGAGAACGGGTTTTAGAGATAGAACAATATTTTGGACTATATCAGGCTAGTCGAAACATTGTCCTAAAAATCTTAAGATCTGTTTTAGGACAAATCTTATATCAAAATGTATATAAAAACTCAGTGCACCTACACATGTACAGTCAGGGTGGCCAACCTGAAGTAATCGTTTATTTTTACATGTAATTAATTACTGCTGAAAACTTTGACGCTACATGCTTCCCTCTTCAAAGCATTAGAAATTATTAGCTAACCTAATGTATATAAATTGTAATAAGGCATTTTGAACCGTTTCCTGATTCATTTGATTTCTTTTTTACATATCATGAAACAGACAATTACCCGGTCACAGAATGAACTTTTAAATTCTGATTGAAAATTATTCTTTTTTTTCTCTACTTCGTCGGACAGCACTGTTATTTCAGAAGCAGTAAAGGCGTTCATACTCAATAGATTTTATAAACGCATGGACTTTTAACAGTCCTTGATGATATAATTGTATTCACTGGAAAACTATTCATTATTTGCACAAATGCAGTAGTGGTTTTATTATTATTAGTATCACATTATACATTTTGTCCACAACCTTTATTTTCTAAGCAAAGACATCTATGCGAATTTCATTAATATACTTTTATTTTCTCACACAGTCTTTGTAATCAAATTTATTCATATTTTCAACGGCAAGGTTTTTACACTCCCCCTTCCTCCCACACATATATACACACACAACCAATAATGTATTATGGTTATATCTCCAAAAGAAATTATTCAAGACAAACTATTATTCAAATATAAAAAAAATGAAAGAAATAAAAACTAAACTTCATGCAAAAAATATTTATTACCTTTTCACAGTGAAATACTGTAATATATTTAAAGTGATATTATAAAAGTGTTATAAAAGAATAAAGGTGATATTTTGTCACAGTGGGAAAGAATTTCAAAGTGATATTTTGTCAACATGTAAAAGAATATCAGATGTGTGACAAAACTCGAAATTGTCTTTCCCTTCACGAAGAATATTGTAAAAAATAGTCCCTGGCCTGTTATAAGATAGAGAGAGTAAATAAACCATGCATGCCAACAGAGATTAAAACTGCCAAAGTTTCACCAAACATGTTGTTAGGAGGAAACTTCTAACGAACAAACCGCTTTCCTTCATATACATGCACCGTTCACTGTAGCTCAGTAGGTAGACCGCTCACTTCGTGATCGGGAGGTCGTGAGTTCGAATCTCGACTGACCTAAGTCGATAAAAAAATAGGTAGCAACTGTTCCTTCACCACGCGCTTGGCACTTTGAAGTGAAAGTTGCAGGTCCTTCGGATGAGACCTTAAAAACTGAGGCCCCGTGTCACGACAGACGTTGGCACGATAAAGATCCCTCACTGCTCAATGGCCCTGAGTGCCGAGTAAAGGTCAAAATTTGAATTAAGCCCTTCACCGGTATATGGTGACGTCTCTATATGAGTGAAATATTCTCGAATGGGACGTAAAACAACATTCAATCAATCAATCAATCATATACATGCAAGACTCTTCTTACCAACTTACGAGGGATACGTGTTTCCTGGAACCTAAGCGAATTTTTTGGCTACTTCATAATTTACATTTGATAACTTTAAAATCCTGGGGAGGAAACCGAACCCTCTGACCCACCAGCTGGATCATTCAAATAATCCAAGGAGTTGATCCTTTCTCTAAATACCCACTCTTCTCTTAAGTGCCTTCTATAGCAAAATTGTAGGTTACCACCTTAACATTCGACTTAAGACATATATCTGGCTGTCTTGAGATTAAGATACTAAGTAGATTTTTAGATTATCAAAAGGTATGAGGGTTTTCTGAAACAGTTATGGTTCAATTTAAAGATAATTTTCTGTCTTAAGACAGATCTTTGTCATAAGATAGTTTTGTGAAACGGGTCTGCACTTCAGCAAGTTGTCTCTCTTTTGACAAGTAAACAAGAAGTTTCCTGGAATCTTTTTTTTAATGCTTTATTTCTGTGTTCTTCATACAATTAATACATATTATGATATATTACACAGAAAATTTTCATACCCCCCCCCCCACTTCCGCTCTTCACTCATACTTACATAAACAATATTTCGTATTTAAACAATATTTACAAGCTATGTATGGAAAGACAAAAGGTATACAACCTTTGTTTCTTAATATTCTTTTCTTTTCTTAGCAGTTGAATTTCCAACATAATTTTCCATTGTGTCCATACAGACTCAAATCAGCAGTTGAATTTTTAACGGATATGTATTTTTCCACATTATAATATATTTTCAAATAGGCTACCAATCCATTGAAATTTGGCAGTTTAACATTTTTTGAACAATAAAAAATATATTGTTAAGCATATAAAGTTATAAAATTTATAACATAGTTTAAATCACATTTAGAACATGAAAACCTACACGTTTTGATGTAGAATTATAAATATGTAGACTAAGGTCATTCCATATATGTAGTACATCTTTACACATGAAAAATACATGCAGAATTTCGCATTCATTGCTACAAAAAGTACAAATATCATTTTCTTTTCCTTTAATTTTTTTTAAGGTAGTGGTTTACGGGTAGTTTTCCAGGTAAAAATCTAAACTGTATCCATTGGACAGCAGAGTTTGAAGATACATGTACCTTAAAGCACATTTCAAAAATATTCCAATTCCATTTCTTGAAAGCCCCTCAAAAACATTTCTGAATTCCATTTTTTAAAAAGCAGTAGGCTTTAAATTCTTCATGTTTATATATACTTTTATAAATATGTTTTGTACATTTATTAGTCAATATCAATTTTTTATATAACAATGATAAAAAAGAAAGCTGTAGCTTTATAAAATTTTCCGTGGAGAATTTCGTCTCTTTCAAAAACTTCGAAATAGCACCAATATTACTGTTAAATTGCATAAAACAAACAGATGGATTGTGTATTTTTCCATAAACTCTAGACAAAATTGATCCACTGACATCTAAAAAAAAATCATCAATAATTATCACACCTTTTTGTACCATTCTTTACCATTTAAAAAAACATTCTTTTTATTCACTTTAATACAAGAGTTGATCCATACTGGGGTTGATAAAATTTCAGAATGTGTAAGATTTGACAAACATCTTTCCAAAATTTGTTTTTTGAGAATTTCAACATTTTAAACACAAAATCATCACCCATATTCAATAACTTTTTCACCACATTTTGTCCATACACTATTTCAAAAATAGTCAACCATGAGTGGCTTTCTTTCTTCAATAACCCTTTGAATCCATGAACATTTTAGAGATAATATAAACCTTTTAAGACTTACCATATTAAGCCCCCCCCCTATCTGGTGTGTAATACGTGTTTAATCTTGTCACATTTTGACCCCTATACGAATCTGAACAACTGTTGTGTTAAAGTAGCTAAGGTTTCTTAACTAGGATTTGGCAATGAAATAAATAGATGGTTTAATTTTGGTACAATTAAAGTTTTTGCTACTGTTACCTGTACAATGGGAGTTGAAATACGTCGTTTCCACTGCTGACTCATTGAAGTGATTTTTGGCAATTGTAATTCAAAATTTAAATCAACGATTTTTTTTCAAGGTCAACAGAAAAAAATTATTTCTAACAAAGAGAAAGTTGTTGTCTCCCAACCTAGCTTCCATCTTGAATGGTGGAAAACTTCAGCAGAAAATTTTGTTGGGGCCTATCCAGATGGTTTTAGTTTTTGTACTGTTTATTTTCAAACCTGAAAATTTCGCATATAATTCTAATGTATCAAGTGCAGCATACAAAGAACCCACAGAATCATCAAGGGCAAAAGAAATATCATCAGCAAATTGAGATAATTTGTGTTCCTTATCATTTACCACAATACCTTTTATATCATGGTTTTGTTTAATAAGAATAGCGAGAATTTCTGCACAGAGAAGAAAAATGTACGGAGAAACAGGGTCTCCCTGACGACATCCACGCTGGACAAGAAACTGCTCAGAAAGAAAACCGCTTTAAAGCATAGAAGCTTTAAAGTTTGTGTTTAAATTTTTATCCACCTAATTATATTTTTACCAAATCCAAAAAAGTGTAAAAGTTTCCTGGAATCTTGGTTTCAGATAGTTATAGTGACCGGCAGAGGTACACTGTTCGTTGGATTGCTTGGGTTCTTAAACCCTTCAAACAGAACATTCGATGGAACTTGTTGTGGCGGGAAAAACTCTACCCTCTGTTACTCTGACTGTCGTCTGCTTTTTGACATCACTGTAATCGGCCTCGAGCAGTAAGTACATGTATCTTAACTATACAAAAGTTCTTTATTACTTATATCTCACTCTGGCAAATTGTAGTTATATGTTGCTCAGTGTATGTAACAGCACATTTCCATTCTTGGTGTTATAAATTAGTGTTTAAATTTACTTGGAGCATGTTAAATCAATTTCCGTCCTTGAATACTTAAGAATTAAACAACAATGTTAAAAAGTTCTCTGGGAAATGAACTTGGTTGGTAACGTGATCAAATCCTGTGAAGCCCGGAGGGCTTCTCTGAAGATTTGATCACGTACCAACCAAGCTCATTTCCCAGAGAACTTTTTAACATTGTTGTTTATTACTTTTATTTACATTTGAGGCGAATATTCTGATTAGAACTGCATTTATTACACGAACGGCCCGCCGTATTGCTAGGTTGTGACGCGCAATGACCTAGAAGCTGTTTGGTCTTGAGAGTTCGCCTCGCTCCAACATTTGAATACTTACATTGGTGTTCAGTAGTTCAGTTCAGGAAATATCTGTTCATAATGAAAAAACAATGATCGCTACTGGGAATAATCTTACTATTATTGTATGAGTTCTTTATATATGAAGTCAAAAGCGGTGCTATAGTCTTCAGTTTACATACCTTCAAAGGAATTTCGGGTTATAAAGGTAAGCGTGATTTTAGGCTAATTAGAAACATTCTTCACACCGAAGAAAGTTCAAATGGTCATTTGTTGAACGAAAAAAAATATATGTTTCAATAATTTTATCCTTTTCATCGCCTTAACGGCTTAGAAGTTCCGAAACCAGTGTCACTGTGACAGAAATATATATCCAGACAAGATAGGCCTATCGTCTCGCTGTGTGATTCGGTCACGCCTTGACCTCTGACCCCCTAATAAGTTCATACAGAATTGACCATATTTTCTCTTCAATAGGTTCATCTAAGAAAAATATTTGCAAATGTAAATAAATTGGGATGAATGATATGATATTACTATGTCATTAATAAAACGTTATATGTTATTAATGAAGGAATCACTTATATACCCAAAAAAGTAAACAGTGATTCCATATATTTACATTTATATGTGAAATAAAATGTAAATTTAATTCAAAAATGTTGTCTAATAGAATAAAAATACACGTAGCATTCCATGTTAATTTTCATAGTCACCCGCCCACTGACGTCAGACGCAAGGACAGCCCGGGAAATTAACATGCATATGAGACACTTGACCTTTAACCTTGCGAAATTTAGATTCATTGAGAAATATTTACATTTCCAAATATTTTTCCTTAAGATTCTTTGCAAATTAGATAAAAGTTCATATTCTCATGAACTACCGTGGGATGAGTAAGAATATTTCCATTGTGATGTGATTAAAGTCAAAAAATAGTGCAAACTTTTTTTTTCAAATATGATCGTTGAATGACAAAAATATAAATGGCAAGTCATCAGAAAAATAATGTAAATATAAGATAAGAATTTAATTTTTGAGAATTCATGAGGTACATGAACTACAACGCTTCAAACCTGCATATTTATCATGAAGCGCTAACGCGCTTTATGAAATATGCCAACGTGAAGCGTCGTAGTTCATGTCCTTATGAATTCATCTCTTAAATCATGAATTCTCAAAAATTAAATTCATCTCTTAAATCAACATACTTGACTTCCAAAGAGTAGTCAAAGCGAAAACAGTTGGAAATGTAATAAAGAAACACATGAGATTATTATGGAACGCCAAATTAACATATATTCAAATATTTGTACCTATCTTCAGATAATTGTACCTATCTTCAAATGAATTGTACCTATCTTCAAATGAATTGTACCTATCTTCAAATGAATTGTATCTATCTTTAAATCAATTGTACCTATCTTCAAATGAATTAGAGATAGGTATAATTCAATTATACCTATCTTTAATTCATTTGAAGATAGGTACAATTGATTTGAAGATAGGTACAAATGCAATGAATTGAAGATAGGTATAATTGATTTAAAGATAGGTACAATTGAATTGAACCTATCTTTAATTACTAAGATATTGGCAATAATAACTACTCCCTTCATTATACGTCATTTCCGTTACGTCTACCGATCTCCGACATCTCTCGAGTATATATATTTTTCAGCTCACTTATTGACATACATGTGTATTTTAATAAGTATGTAATGCTTTTTGCACATTTTAACATATCTTTATTTCTCCTTTCATCCTCGTTGTCGTCGCTCTGTGTATTCTGTGCGTTTCCCTCCATGTTCAATATTGTCTCCTAGGGAGCGTTCATTATTTTCAATAACACAAAATGAATTGAACCTAGGTATAATTGAATTGTACCTATCTTCAAATCCTTTGTGGATATGTTCTAATTGTACCTATCTTCAAATCAATTGTACCTATCTTCAAATCAATTGTACCTATCTTCAAATCAATTGTATCTATCTTCAAATTAATTGTACCTATCTTCAAATGAATTAGAGATAGGTATAATTGAATTGAACCTATCTTTAATTGAATTGAAGATAGGTGTAATTCCGTTAAAGATAGGTATAATTTATTTGTACCTAGGTATAATTATTTAGAGATAGGTATAACTATTTACACCTATCTTCAATTCAATTGTACCTATCTTTAATTCAATTGTACCTATCTTCAATTCATTTGAAGATAGGTACAATTATTTGAAGATAGGTACAATTATTTGAAGATAGGTACAAATATTTGAATATATGTTAATTTGGCGTTCCATAGATTATATGTATTTATTTTTTGAGTTACACTTCAATTTTTTTTTTCGTTTTTAGAAATGAAACAAAGAGTCCTTTAGACACACCAGTCTCTGGAACAAGAGTTATTTCAATACCACCTTCAAACGAAATGAAGAATCCTCTGTCATTTTCTTTCCAAAAATGGCCTGTAAGTTCATCGCAAAGTAAATCCATATGAATGTTTATCTGTCTTCAGACAACGTTAGTAAATTTCATGTTTTCATTTTTACATAAAATGTGCTTTATCTAGAATGTATTAGTCTGTTACCCTTTTTGTCGTTAAAGAATCCTCGGTTATCTATAAAGATATGTTCTATGTGTGCCTTTATAAATTTAAAAGTGGATTTAATTTATTTGGTTGATCTTGACGCACGGTTTTTTTTTTCACGTCAGCATCCAATAATTGGGAAAAAATACTGGACAATGCAAATGCAATATTTATAAATTATAACAAATTTGTTCAACTTAAAACGTTCAATTTTATCAAAATTTTAAAAAAGTTTGTGACGAAAGTTTAAGAGCCATAGCTTATTTACAACCATATTGTCTCATAATGGTAATTCTATGGCGATGAAATTTTTTTCAGTGTTTTTTAAAAGCATTAACTTCTCGTTTTAAAGGGGGAAGTAGAAATTGTTGTCAATATATACGACATGGAAAGAAAAAACAGAAGTTTGGTGGATATATTTAACTTCACATTTAAATATGGAAAACCAGAATTGAATTACAAGAATGAGACTATATATGGGATTAGACCACAAAACGAGACACTGTGAGTATCATTTATTTATTTACTGATAGTTGATACATGTAATAAGTCAAAATCAACCTCGAAAATTATGCTATTTAAAATTTTCTCAGTAGAAGAGAAACGTGGAAGAGGATCAGTTCTATTTTGAAACACTTGGAATGTACATTAATATTGTATCTAAATTTTACATACCGACATACAGGCGGATGATAAACAAAGTTTCAAAAAATGTTTCACTAGCTAATTAGATAAAAATAATAAGAAAATTGAAAAGGCTCTGTTTACGTTATAATGAGATAACATTAAACCTACTGAATATTTTCTCATTCTATTTAGAACCGGTTTTTAAACAACCTGTTGTAAAAGATTTCTTAAGAAATAGGCTCTTCAATCAATGTAACTTATTATGGACCAAAAATACAATAATTTACGCACCCCATCCACTTTATACAAATAATTTATACAGATAGCTTTGTTTCTTAATGCAGGGATGAAGGTTGCAATCATTGCTGAAAAAAAAAATTGATAAAGCTCGCGTACACGGGTTATGTATTTCTTATGCAATGTCGTCACCGTTATCCACGCATTAACAAGAACAGAGAAAGTATTCATTTTGTAAATATAAGAATTGCTACATGTGTAAATTAAGTGACATCAGGAACTTGTGGAAAATGAAACGGTTATTGTCCCTAATGGCCAAATAACGACAATCTGATAACGGAGTGACTTCCTGCCAGAGAATCTGGTGCTTGTTGAATTTATAGGTCTGTTTATCCGTGCACTAATTTATTGTTCAAGAATTAGGTAGACTGACCACAAATCCCTGATAAGATATTTACATAAACAAACTCCTCGAATGAAATCAAACTACAAAAGCCTCTAACAGAGACAATTTCCGAAACAAAAGGACAGAAAATAAATTAATCAAACAGAGCACAACATACAGAAATTGTGCCATAAAGTAAATTATCTTTTCCACGGATAATGGATTTTGTGTTATATTTGAAAAAAAAATTGTTATGTATATATGAAATCTTATTATTTTTACACTTGAATTCGAAAACTTGTGATTCGTATTCGAAAAACTTGTGGGTCATATTCGAAAAGTTGATTTTCCAATTTGAAAGCTCGTTATTTATAAACACTAGAGTGTTCCAAGGAATGCTTGTGTCGCCTGCTTTATAGCATCATTAAAGATGCAAATAAATCTCAAAGTGGTCAGCTATTTACTTGTTATTAGCACTATACATATGTATTTCATGCATCATTTGCCTGAAGAAAAAAAAATCCACGGATAATAAGACTATGATAGAACTTGAAATATAATATGAACCCCCACCTTCAAAGCTAAAATGAATAATGAAATTGAAACCATCAGAAATTTATTTTTAATCAAAAGAGATATCAGTCTGTCTCGGTCAACCAGACATTTGGCTATCTTCGTAAACTCCGACAAGCACAGAGACTCTCTGCTGGTCGGAGTTTACGGCCGAGCGTCTATTTGTCAGTCTACAACCATCCATTTTGGTATATCGATCCCGATTTATTTTCACAATATTTAAGTTCAAACTCACAGTTTCAAAAGTGCAATGTCATAAAATAATAAACGTGTGATACGAATGCTAATCATCAAAACCCTGCCTTGAAAAATTCAAAACAAGTAAGTTTAATTAACCGTCCAGAATATTTTTGCAAAGTAGGTCAGAGGTCTAGTTCAAAAAATCTGTAACGCTGGCATTTTTCAGAATATTTTATGACAATATGTGCACATGCTAAATAGCATAATCTAACCTCTAAAATGTTAAAAATTTGATTTGATTTTCAAATTTGAAAGTTCGATATAAACAATTGAGTGTTCCAAGGAATGCTTGTGTCGCCTGCTTTATAGAGACAGGATTTTAATAATTAGCATTTATATGTTTATGAGCTCATGTTACTGTACTTTGAAACTGTATGATATTCAGTTACCACACAAACTTATATTCAAATACTTTGAAAATACATCGGGATCGATATATTCCAGAAGGGATCGTTTTGACTGACAATTGCAGTAAAGACAGACTGAAATCTCTTTTGGAGGATTGTTGGAAACACGTTGAGTTCATGATACAGTCCTTTGAAGCTGTATGATATTCAGTCACAACACAAACTTCATTTAAATACTATGAAAATACATCGGGGTCGATATGCCACAATGGATCGTATAGACAACCAATTGCAGTAATCTATTTTGGAGGATTGTTGGAAACGCGTATTATAGTTATTTCTAATAATTTCAATTTTATTATTCATATGAGGGTTAGGGAACCATCTATCCATGGATGCCATTATTTCTTTGCAAATGCATCCCGAAGTATTTTCAAAGTATTTAAATATAAGTTTGTGTGGTAACTGAATATCATACAGTTTCAAAGTAATGCTAAAAGTCAATAAGAAGCTGACCACTCTTAGATTTATTTATATCTTTAATGAAGCAACAAAGCAGGCGACACATGCGTTCCTTGGAACACTCTAGTTATAATTAAAGTACCACACCTATTTAACTCATCGGTGATTTCAAACACAATACTTCGCAATATGGGTTTAAAAGGTTACGGATAAAGTATCCGATTCAAGTTAGGAAATAACTTTTAATTTTTTGTGTGTGCAAAATATAGAATTTTACAGCGCAAAAAAAAGATATTTTAAGCTTGTATCGCGTTACATTTTTAAGCAGGGATCGCGCATTTTTCTTGGAAAGCGCGACTGTTCAAAAGTGAAATTACAGTTCTCATTTTTCTCACAAAACAAGAGCAATCAATGTGGTTTGTGAATTCGTTAACAATTTTGCATTCGATGATGGCAAGAAAATTAAGAAAGCGATATTTTTTACGAAAAAAGAATTTGTAACGCAAATAATTAAAAACATGCATATTCATATAAACATTTAATTTACTCAATTATAAGAAAATTTAAATAAAACAAATAATATCAAAATAATGTGCTTTACTTATCGATTGAAATATTTCTTTAAGATAGTTATCAAATTGCAAGATTTGTAGCGAATAGATGGATTATAAGTTCTGACAACTAAAATGTCCAGAGTTTAAAATGACGTTAAAAAATCCAGCCGATTTTCAAGGGGTTAAATTCATGGGTTTTTTTATCGATTACAAAATTAAGTATATTTTCATAATGTGATTATCCAAAATGAATGTCCGATTGATAAATTTACTCAATTAATATTTTACGCAACATTTAGGAGGTTCAACGTATTTGTCCAGTGCATGTTCTTGACGCGCTATTCATTTTGCTTTAACGTAATGCACAAAAATGCGTTCAAGACCGGTTTGAGTAATTGACAAACTTTATCATACATAAATCAAAAGCACTATTTTGTTCATTTGTTTAATTACAAGCAGTCTGTGATTTTTTGTACTCATGTTTTAAGTGCAAAGAGATAGAGATAGGGCACCAGTCACGCTACTAGCACTATACTTCGAAATAACGCTATTGAAGCGTAACGTTAAACATCACCTACGTAACATTAATATAAATCACAACTTTACAAGTAATATGACTGACAATTTTTCGAATATAAATCACTTTTTTGAATATCAATCACGAGATTTTTTTTTAATAATGCAAAGTTTTACCACAACAGTATACGTTTTCGTGTGTGTTTGCAAGAATAGTATCCAGACGATAAATTTTTAGACATCTGAGTTTTTTCTTTTTTTCCTAGATGTACTTTTTTAGATAGCTATGTAATTAAAGAAAATGATACCCACTAAGGTCATTGAGATTTAACCCCCCCCCCCTCTAAATCGCATAAAATAACTTAAAAAGCAATGTGATTTAAATGCTTTTTTTAGATTACGATTAATACTGCGATACAACTGTGACATTTTCTACTTTGAAAAAGAAGATTGCAGTCGATTCTGTCTTCTTGGCAATTATCCATGTTTAACTAGTCAAACAGGAACTACCAATCGTGTAACAGACTATGTTCTTTCACTTTCTACCGCCAAGCCAAGTAACGGAAGACTATGTCCAACGATTCACCCTGTTTCAGGAATAACACAGCAATCACATACAAACGAATCTGCTGAAAATTGTACAAATAATTTCAACGAGAAATCCACATCGAACACAGTGGACACTACATCTTCAACGGAAGATCCTATTACAATTTCTGATATGAAAACATCAGCAGGAATCAATCTATTTACTACTGCTTCAGAAACTATAGATTTGCTGTCTACAGAAATAAGTACAGATAAAGTGACTGTATCCTCCACAGAAAGTGCATTTATGTCATCACTTGCAAGTCAATGGAAGTCAAGGGAGGAAACAACCACCGAAACTTTGGTTTCCTCCTCATTTAAACCAGAAGCACAAATAAGTGTTACATCAAGTCGAAAGACGACAAAAAGTAACCCTCCAACAAATAGAGTAGCGGTCATAACCACTTCAACAAAACCAACTACCTTGAAACCAGCAACTCAACAGAGTACAGTATCTATTCTAAAAATCATCGAGAAACATCCTCTAACAAAAGTCACAGTGGATACACCAACAACAGATCCACCCTTATCTTCATCAACAAACTCCTTCGAATTCTCTAAATCATCAACCCATCAAGTATCACCGAATATTCCAGATGGTGGTCCAAAAACCATTGATGATGACGTCATGCATTACTGGCCAGCCATTGTTGGGGGCGTTTTAGGGATCCTTGCTGTAATAGCAGTGCTTGGAGTCTTTGTATACGTAAGGAAATTAAGGTTAGTGGTGTAGAATACAAAGTTTGTTTTGAAACCATTACATGATGTTACATTAATGAAAAGAATACATTTGTAACCGTAGATAAACATGAATATCCACTGGCTGTGAGTGGGAAGCTTTTTTATCAATCCTGCAACAAAAACTATTTCCAAGGGTTGCTGTCAAAGATTTGACGAAAAAGGGTACATGCCAGTCACAGACAGTGGATATGAGTTTTATAATACTAATGTATATACATGCATTTTGTCTGTGAAAAAATATTTATTTTACTTCCTAAATTTTATATAGGAAACATTTTATCACAGCTAAATAAAGTTTTAGGTCTTAAATATAAATGGAAAAAACTATATACATGTATAGATGTAGACTTTGAGAATATTAGTCTTCAATTACATATTTTTTTCATTTATTCACTGCATACTGAATGTAATTTACTAAAATATAGTTTTGCAAAACTAAATTAAATTTGATCATCATTCAATGAGATTAATTTATTTCCAGAGCTCAACAAAAAAAGAGAGAAGATATCTATAATGTTAATCCACAAACATGGATACTAGAAACAAATGAAAATGGAACTTCTGGTATGTCCGAAATAGCTCTAGAAACGGAAGAAGTATGACGTCATCGAAACTATGTGCAAATTTTGCCATAAATTCTCCGCCAATAATTTGAAGTGAAAAGAACTTATTTTTGATTGTTGGGAAAAGTACAAGCGTGTAGGAGGGTTTTACACTTCTTAGGGTGTGTATTCAACGTGATACGCAGAGTTCAAGGGAAGAACATTTGTGTTCTATGACATGAATTTGCGTTCGTTAATCCCTTTATTGGGTAGATTAGTCATTTTATAACGGGTATTTCTTTACCATTTTATCATGACATCTTCACTAAATTCATTTCTAGCTAGAAAATACTTGTACTTCCTTATTTCTGAAATCAAATCCACATTTAAGTACAAAAATGAGGATCATATTTGGAAAAAGGATTAAAGGTTATTTTCATTCCTGAAATTTGCGGCCAGGGTATTTTCACCTTAAACAAGGAGGGGAAGTGTTAATTGTTTTTTAATCGCTGTTATTTTATTACACTACATCTAAGATTTATGATTAACATATGTTCCATGACGTTACAGACTTTGAAACCAATCATATTGATTGTTATATTATTTCTGTATTCTTCATACTGTAAACTGTATTACTAATAATTACTAGGTGATTGTTTATTGGTTACTACTTCCGTAATCTGACAACCAATTATATTGATTATAACTCTGATCCAAAATGTAAGACCTTTATGTTGTGATATATTTTTACGATTTTTTTTCTCCTTACAGCATCATAAGGCTTTTTTGTTTTGTTTTTGAATCGGATAAAAAAAAATGTCAAATTCTACCTTGAAGCAAGGAAAAGAAACAAAGATGAAATCATTTAACCAAAGCTTACTAGTAAATGGTACAGAACTGCTATAATTTATTGTTCTGTGTTGGGCTACTTGATTCAAAATCTACATGTTAGAATATTTGGATTTCAAATCAGCAAGTTGAACAGGCGTAAAAAAAAAAGAAGATAAACCTGTCCTCATGACAACTGAAGTACAATGGTTGGGTAAAAGTAAAATGTGTTTGTTCTTCTAAATTGAACCGAAAATCTCCTCACAAGGAAACTTATGACAGGCTGAGAGAAAAAAAAAACAAGAAAAAAGCCCTCCATATTCTGGCCTTTAAGTGTTTCTTCTGAAACTGAACAGTGAATAGTATGTACTACGTATATGTAAAATTACTAAAATATATGATTTTTCTCTCTCGATATTCTCTGCATTACGCTGAGCTATGGGCGTTTTAATTTGCACAATATTTGAATTTATTTAGAAACTGGCAAATTATATACTAACGTGATCCTAATTATTTTAAAAACGAAATCTGAGAGTATCTTGTGTAAGTACATCTATAGCTGAAAAAAAGTTTTCACAACGAAGTAATCGTTTTATTTTTAGGTGGGTTTTTTTTATCTTAATTCAGGATGCCAAAAAAATCACACAGGTGTAGACACAATTATAATAAATCGTTTTTGCATTAGCATACCCGTATTTGTGAGAGTCGTGGCGTGAAATGTTGCAAAAAAAATTACATTTACATTTATAGTCTTTTGCGTCTGAATTAATATATTATCATATTTGTAAATTTATTACAATTTATCACTATGAGGTTCCATTGACATTTGAAATGCAAGCATTGTAGTTTCATATAGAAGTTACCTTTTAGGTCATATGATACTCAAAAATCCGGAGAAAGTGGGGGTATTTATCGGTATTTATCAAAGCTTCTTGTATTTCGTTGTTTTTAGATTCAGATTAACAAGGTAAAATTGTAAAATTAGACTAAATTATATTTTTGATGACAGATTTCATTTTCCATATTCTTGCATTGAGTTTCAGTATAGATATCGGAATAAATATGTGTTTTAGCATTAATCAAGCCTATGCAACGTTTCTTAGTATCATATGTCCTTAAAATTGACTAACGCAACTTAATTTCTATACCAACATTGTGTAAATAGTTTAGTAAAATACGTTTCTATTTTTTCTTTAATTTGTCTCAGAAAGTTTTTAGATTGTTCATTATTTTAATTGTTTAATTTTTTTCAATTAATTAAAATTTTCCTTATAAATTGTGTACACTTTTCTGTCGTATTGTATTTTATTCCAGTATTTGAATTCATCCATTCTTATCTGACTGTTACCATATCTTGCCATAAATTTGTAATCGCCATTTTCACAGTATTTGTGTTTTTTCATATTCACTTATGTTATAATGCACTCTGCATCAAAATATATGATTAAACCCTTAACAATTATGACCAAATTATGACAAAATGGTACCCCTAACAAGTTAAATGATATATAACACTCCCATGTTCTAGACAATAAAAATATTAAAGATTGAATACCTAAAATATGGGGTATATTTTGCGTTATGCTGTTGCAGCTGAAAAATGGCTTTGTTTTCCAGTTTTTGTTTCAGGAGATTTACAATAGAAACTCTTAGTTATAGATGTCAAATCATTGTGAAATTATCCCTCTTTTATATGCAATTTACTGTATGTAAATCAACAAAATATTAGCGAAATAATGTTTAAATATGTGAAAATGCAGATACGTTATGAAATTTAATAAAATTCTACTATTTGAACTTGCAGTTTAAAAAAATATATGTTAGTGCATTACTCTTACTTTAGGTTCATTTTAAAATTAGAGTTAAATGATAAATGAAACAATAAAGAAAAGTTTGAGTGGATTCTTCGAAACTTTAGAAAATGACACATTTTCTTCTTACTGGCATAAAAATGTCCCAAAATTCTGTAGTGTCCGCAACATGTGCTTATTCTGGAATGCATTATGAATTATATTTCTTTTATTTTACATGTAAGAGGCCAGTACAGCTACTAATCTATCTACCAAAAAATATCAGACTTTAGCTCAGTGTTGCTTGGAATTCTGGCAAATATATTGTGTTTTGTAGAGTCCGCAACGCTGTAGAGTCCGCAACAGCTTTTTAAATTCACAGTTTCTTCAAAGAAATGTAACATGATTTCAATTGATCATCACTATAATTGTCCAAATATTCAATACAAATATGTAAGGTTACAAAACTTAGTGGAACTATAACCTCATACTTTGAATAACACCCATAACGACTTGTTTATACATAATATTCAAAATCTTTCAATTGTCAGTCTTATGTTATATATTGAAAGTTAATTTTCATGTGGTATTTAAAACTGAAGAAGTGGAAACTAAAGAATATATCAAGATGTTAATTGTTAATTAATAAGTCTAGTTCTAATTAATACAGTTGTGTTGCGGACACTACAGTAATAACTATATACCACATTCATTTATTATTTTCACTTTTTATTTCATTAAATATTTTTGAAATGTAAAACACTTCTCTGATATTTTGCTCCTTTGATAATACAATAAGTTAACTGGATTAAGATAACAAATGGTGATTTTTGTACAAGATAACACTTCAAACTTACTGGTATATATATGGGTTTTAATTTCCAGGCCGGATAGCCATTTTTGACTAGCCTTTTTTATTTCCCTATAATATAACACCATTTACTGTACATATAGAACTAGTTAGAGATTAAGATTTTCAGTTTACTCCATTAAAACCAAATATGGTGTCATATAGCAATATTTCAATATATTGTAGTGTCCGCAACAATTTCAATACTGAAAAAAAATTATGGATGCCTCAGTAAATTCTTTAATTCATTGAATTTATCTATAAAACTATTTGTTATAACTTCTTTAATTGTATTAAAATAAGTAAAATCATAGACATTTTTTAAAACTGCAAAACAATTATACATCAAGAAATAATTAATGCTCCTTGTTATGTGGTTATTTTCATCTCAATAAACCACATTCTGCATCTTTTTATATGGTACATTTTCAAGAGTTGATCCTGTGGTATATAATTCAGCCTAGACATGAACATTTATCAACAATTATTTTTATAAAAATGACAGAAGATTATTCTTATGGTTACTTGTAGTGTCCGCAACAAAAATGCTATGCATTTTCAAAGCTAGACAAGATACAAACGAAGATATCCAGGGTGTTATGACAAATGTATTTGAAATTTAGAAGTATTCAATTTAATTTTCACATGATAATTATATAGGTCTTATGTGTGATTGTAAAGGTAGATAAACTTAAGGAAGGGAGATAAATTAGGCAAAAAAATTAGCAAGTCATTAATGTGAATAAAATTTTTGTTTTCAAAGAGAACCATAAGATTTTTCTTTTATTTCACTGCAATTAGGTACATAATCGAAACCTGCAAGAAGTTTGGAATAAATAAATGTCTTTAATATTTTATTTTAGACATAACAGGTGTAATGTAGTGTCCGCAACACAAGGTCTCGCCCAAAATTTGACTTCGCATAACTTTTTTCGTAAGAATGCTTATATTAAAAAAATTTGGGACTCATTTGCATAGGTATTGTACTTTCTAGAAAACATGTCAATAATGTGCTGTTTGACTTTTTATTTTTTGGTCCAAGTGCAACACAATTAGCACAAATACTGTGAAAATGGCGAATGTATAATGTTTATTTGTAATAATGTTAAATTGTGTATTCTATTATATATCTTTTTAATGTACACATTTTTTCTGGATATTTATTGTTCGTCCATGCTAATTTCAAGTGTACTTTTCTGATCAAAGTTTATCATGCTGTAAATTTTGCATTAACCCCCCCCCCCCCTTAGTAAATTCAAAATTTACAACATGATACAGCTGTTCTTCTTTCCGAGATAAAAGTCATTTTTAGAAACTCAATTGGCTCCGAGGGCGAAAATGTAAAGTTTAAAACGTTATTGCACATCTACATGATATCATTTATCATATCCAAAAGATGAATTGTGCTACTTCTATCAAAATCAAAATTTTAAAACCTTTTTCCACAACTTCAGGAAAAGACCCATAAAATTTTAAAAGACCTATTGGCAACTGCTTTAAGTGTCAGAGTAGTTTAAAGATTTAGTAGAAAAACATTTTTCGACATCCCCTCCCCTTCCTCGAGCAAGGATAGCCAAATCGACCTTTGGAAT